AGGGTGGATATTAACCACAGCTTGCTAACAGAAAAAGGTCACAAGATAACTTCAAGACAATGAAGGGATGGTTCAGATCTTATAACCTGATTCCAGGACAAAGAAGCACCAGTTGATCACCTGAGACATGCTGACAAAAGGAAAGGACTGGCTGACCTCTAAAAACGTTTCCTCCCTGCCTTTTGGACTATTGATTTAAGCTTGCTGATACAATAAAAATAGTACCCCAAACCCCCCTGCAGAGAAAAATCTAAATAAAAGGCATTGTCTCATGCTCAACTGGGCTCCAGCTGCAACACACTGACGGCCTGCAGAGAGAACGTGCATATTGATGCATTGAGGTCTCCGTCTGTGTTTGTTATTTTCGACGACCCTCTCCTTCCCTTATTGGGTACCCACCCCTCACTGAAGCTGGACTTCGGCAGTAGCAACATCTTAGAATGTAAAAAAATAATAATAAAAATAAACAAATTTTTAAAAAATACAAAACATTTACTATTAGGAAATAATACAATAAGCAGAAAAGCTAAATAAGTGAACATATTCATGACAACAGGTTTTATAATTGCTAAAATTGGGAAGAAAACAATACATGCTAAAATATATTTTTATATTAATTAAAATAAATATGTTGTTAAAAAGCAAAAACAAACAAACAAAAAACAATTCAGGTATTTCAGTATGTTACAGATTCTTTCCATAATATATCCATTTAGTTGTAATACAATTTTGGACTGTTTAAAAACTTTTTTTCCCAAAGGGCCGGCCCATAGCTCACTCAGGAGAGTGTGGTGCTGATAACACCAAGGCCACAGGTTTGGATCCCACATAGGCATGGCCAATTAGCTCACTGGGTGAGTGTGGTGCTGACAGCACCAAGTCAAGGGTTAAGATCCCCTTACCGGTCATCTTTAAAAAAAAATTTTTTTTAAATAAATAAATAAAAACTGTTTTTCCCCCAGTTTTACAATTGGATTACTGAATTGTCTAATATCCAAAATACCACCATTTTGGCCAGCATTTACAAAGCCTGATTGTGTTAGTCTGGGTTCTCCATACAAACAAAACCAACAGGATGGATAGACATGAATACAGATAATATGGATACAGATATATGTATAAGTACAGATACAGATATAGATATATAGGAGTGGATATATTAGGGGAATTTGGTCACATGATTGTGGAAACTATGAAGTCCCACAACTAGAGACCCTTGGATGCCAGTACCAGTGCTATGAAGTCCCACAACTAGAGACCCTCGGATGCCAGTACTTGCCAGTGCAAGTCTGAAAGCCTCACAGCACAGAAGCTGAAGAAGTAAGTCAGTCAGAGGCTGAAGGCCTGGGAAACTGAGGGGTGAGAGGTGTTGCTTGTACAAGTACTGGAGTCCAAAGGTTGGAGAACCTGGAGTTCTGATGTCTGAGGGCAGGAGAAACAGGGTGTTTCAGCTCCAGGAGAGAGGGGGAGAATTTGCCTTTCCTCTGCCTTTTTGTTCTATTCAGGCCCCAAGTGACTGGATGGTGCTCAAAATAGAGGGTGAACCTTCACCATTTGGTTCATTGACTTACAGGCCCAAATCTTTCAGAAACATCCTCACAGACACACCCAGACATAATGCTTTACCAGTTTTCTAGGTATCACTTAATACAGTCAAGGTGACATATAAAGTTAAACATCACACACCACACTAATTCAATACCAGGATCTTCTGTCTTATTTCTCAGATATGGTCTGGGGAGTCCTAGGGGATCTCTGATATACTTTCAAGGGGTCCACAAGGTTAATGCTATTTCCATAATTATAATAAAAACATTATTTGTTGTTTCAATCTCATTCTCTCACTAATGTACAGGAAAGTGTTCTTGAGTCTCAATGACCTGCAATATCCCCACAGATTGAATACAAAGGCCATGAGGATCCAGCCATCTTCTGTTAACACAGATATTCGATTTGGGAAGTTAAACATGCCACACTTCTCAATAGAATTTATTTTGCCTTGCCAACAATAGTTGTTTTTCATAAGAATGCTATTTAAACTATAGTTTATTAATGTTGTTTTAATATAAATTAAAATATTTATTTTTAAAATCTCTCAGTTTCAATCTCTAATGTCATAAATATTAAAGATAGAACCCAAATTTAAAAAAAGCTATTAGGGTCCTCAGTAATTTTTAACGTCTACAGGCATATTGAGACCAGGAATCGTGACACCACTGCTGTGCCAACTGAACCTGAACCCTGTGCTAGACGTGGCCCAGGACTCACCTGCTCCACCAGGACCTTAACCCTTAAGCCATACTCAGTGACTGAGTACCGATGCCTTCCTTATTTCAGGACATCAGAGGCAGGCCAGATCTCGAGAAGTCCTTCTCCTTCATCCTCCTTCATCCCACTTCTAGGCCTGGGGGGCCTTACCTTGTGATCTGGAAATCTTTGGGGTTGGGTGGAAATGGGCCATCAGCTCCTGGGCCACGTAGCTGTCATGGGGAGGCTTAAACATACTCACAGCCTTGGCTCCCTCTCAGCTCTCTTAGGAAAGGTCCCTTTTCTCCAACTGTGACTTCATGTGTGGTTTCCTCCTTCCCTCAGGAAGCTCTGTGGTCCCCTCCCTCTTCCCACATTACAAGGGTCCTGCTGCCCTTTCCCCAAGTCCACGCTGTCTAATGCCAACTACAGCTTCAGGCTGAGTGTGTCGCCTGGATGTGAAAGCAGCAGGTTTTCAGCCTGTCACCTTCATACACTTTCCTCCTGCATGGGAGCCCTGTGGCAGCAACAGCGTCCCTCACACTGGACCCTGCCCCATGGCCTAGTGAGGGGAGAGCTGGGGCTGCTCCTGCAGAGGGTGAGAAGGAGGCAGCTGAAGATGTTCTCTTGTGTGACAGAGGGAAGAAGGGCCCGTTTTCCAGCAGGGGTTGCTGTGCAGATGAAGCTGAGGTGGCCATGGCTTCTCTATGTTTCTCTGACTCCAGGGCATTGGTCCTGTGGGCGGTTGTGGGTCTTTGCCCTGTGAAGGATGAGGCCGTCCTCCTCGGGTACTGTGATCCCATAGGCCCCTGTGAATGCGGGGCAGATGAAGAGGGGGCTGTCATCAGACCCCAGCCTGAAGAAGGGCCTCAGGGGCCCAGAAAAGACTGAACGGGGACACGTGTAGATGTGTGATCTGTCCCTCATGTTGTAGAAGGAGACATCTCCAGCTTCGTAGTCCAGGAAGACGCCCACCCGGCCAAGGCGCTCTTTCAGAGGGAGGATCCTGTCAGGGGATGACAGGGCCCGGTACTGGTTTCCAAACATCTCCAGGGTCCAGAAGCCATTCTGAGGGACCAGCAGGGCCTGTCCTTTTCTCTCAACACCATCTCTACAAACCCCCACGGTCCACATCATCACGTTTTCAACCTCCACCTCCCAGTAATGTTTCCCTGAAGTGAAGCTTGCCAAGCCCAGGACACAAGGGTGACAGTCGAATCTCTCCGGGTTGTCAGGCACCCTCTGCTGGGAAGGGCCCCGCCTCACACTTCTCTGGTCCTCTGACAGGTAGAGCTCAGGATGAGCGGTGTCTGGATCCAGCCTCACATCAGCTGCAGAGGAAGACTCAGGATTAGACCTGGGGTACCCAGAACCCAGGAGATTGTGTGATCCCTGGTCCCCAGAAAGGTCCCAAAAAGCTGGGGCAGGATCCCTCACGTGGCCTTTTCCATGAAGACAACTTTATCCCAGGAGCTCACAGTCTAGGAATTACTGAGGCTGCACCTCAATCTCTCTAGAGACAGGAGCAGTGCCCTCAGGCAGAAGAGAATTGGGGTGCCAAGAAATCAAGAAAATTAGCAAATGAGCCCAAATTAATGATTCCCACTTTCTCTCAGCATTCTCAGATCTGTCCTCTTTTCTAGTGAGGATGTATGAATGATCTCCGGACCTCTCTTTATTAGAAACACTCCGACTTGGTTTAAGTAGCAAAGACGGTTTATCTATTGCTTCCCCCCATGCTTAAATCAGTTAAGGTGAGTCTCTCACTACAGTGTCCTGGGAGATACAGCATTTCTTCAATGGTCCCCTGTATTCATTTAACCAGGGGACAACTGAGTTAAATAACTGAGAAGGGTACCCTTCAAAGGGTTATAAAGGATAATAAATATCCCCAAAAGCCAACCTATTTCCTAAGAGGTATGTGGGGCATACATAGGAGGAAATATTTCCATCCAGTTTTGCTTTAACAACATGGATCTGAAGTCTACAGCTATAACCTTTCTGGGTATAAGAAATGCTTCAGACCCTGGACATTCTGCAGACCTTTCTAATCTACACATATTATTAGTCATTCAGTCTGTCTTTCTATTGTGTTAATAAGGTTTCCTCCTTTCCCCAAGTTGGTATATCTGATTATAACAACTAGTGATTGTGCCCCAAATTAATTGTAGCAATTTTGAAATTCACCTAAAGAGGGAAGATCCGTGTGTCATGGGAGCAGGTAAACCCTGGATTCTTTGGTACTTATGTGCGGAAGGTGACAAATCATGAAATGCAGAGGGCTCATTAGGAGTGGTCAGTTGGATTCTGAGCTCTCCACTCGCCTGACCCTCTGCCTGGCGGGCTACGTGTAGAGCACAAGTGCATGTGGGGAGCAGGAAGGCGTTTCTGGCTATTTATAAAGCTTTGAGTCAGGTTTACTGGGGAACCTGATTGCATTTTCCTCATTTGGGTCTTCAATGACAGAGTCTACACCAACTCCCAGTTTATAAAGAGCTAAGCCAGCATTGTCCTCTTTCAAATTAATCCAGAATCGAAGAGCAATAACTATAGAAATGGAACTCTTCAGGAGGTTCACTATGTATGGGGGACCTCTGGTAATCACGTATTAAATTATTCTATAAAAGGCTATTTGGTTAGCTCACTTGGTCAGAGCGTGGTGCTGCTAACACCAAGGTCAAGGGTTCAGATCCCCTTACCGGCAAGTCACCAAACAATAATAATAATAATAATAATAATGGACGGATCATGGGAAGTAAACTGTAGGGTTGATTAGGAGCTGCAGGAATCCTTGACAGGAGAGCTGGGATCCAGCGCAGGTGGGACACTGCTGGTGAACCGACCCAAGCACCCTACAGCCCCCCACCCAGCCTTGGGCCCCTGTTCATCTGCTCTAGGGTCCTGTTGCCTGCCTAATGGGGAGAAAGCTCAGGGTCTGAGGGTATGTCAGTTGCGCTCACCAGCATGTAGGAGGGTTCTTCTCCACCCTGCAAGGGACAGACACAGAGGTGAATGTCATGAGATAAAAGCTGACCAAGCAGAACACACTTCATGCATTGAGTGGTTCGGGAAAGGTTAAACTTACGCAATTCTTCTTGAAGTTGCTCTAAAAAAGAAACAGAAGCAAAATAACATCCTTAACAGAAGAACGGAGAGAGGCTGGGTTTGTTTTAAATGATGCAGGACTGACCCCTTTCCGTCAACAGCACTGTCCCCTCCCCCATGCCTTGGGAACAGTAGGAAACCAGAAATGACACAGGACCAGGTGGCTGGACAGTACCACTACTTTTCTAGGCTCGCTTTTGTCCAACAATGGGCATTGTGCGTAGCCAGGTCAGTGAGTGCAAGGTTTGCAGAGTGGAAGACAGAGAGCCCTGAGGGACCAGCTACTGCACAGAGTTCCACCCTCGCTGCTGCCGTGATGCGTGCCTCTGCTGTTCCCAAGCTTCCACCTGTCACAGCTGTGTCCCTTCTATGATGGTGACTTGTCTTTCCACTCTATTACCTTTCATTTCACGTTCTCTCTCTTTTTCCACATGTTCTCTCCCCAGTTCCTTCCGTGCATTTTCTTTCTCTTCACGTTCAAACTCCCTTTCCTCTGACAGAATCTCTTTTTCCCTGTGGAGTTTCTTGATGAGACAGACGCTCCCAGCCAGGAGGATGATCAGAATAGCCAGGAAGACAGCCAGGGCCACTGTCCAGGGAGATGTGTGGGGCATAAAGGATTCTGAAAAGTGAGCCAGAAAAAATTCCACTTAGCGAGAAACAGGAGAGCCGGGCTGAGGGCGCCCCTCAGGAGCACATCTGAAGAGCTCCCTCAGGTCCCTGCTCTGTCAGCATCTGCCTCAGACCTCAGATGGAGAAAGTGACGCTGGCTCTGCCCTGTCTGACCCCACAGTGACTGCCAGGGCTGGGACCCAAGAGATAGAAGAGCAGAACCCTCTGGAGTCAGCATGGGAAGGACCGGGTAATCACGGCTCGTCGGGCATGCTGAATCACCACAGCCAGCGCCTGGGAACAAGCCCCATCACCCCGTGCCTGGAGAGTGCAATGCCCTCCTCCTCGCTGTGCCCGTACCATCTGCATCATGTCAATGCTTCGCTCAGAACCTCCAAAGCTTCCCATTTCTCTCAGACTACAGGCCTGAGTGTGGCCTGTGTTGCCTCATGTAGTGTGGTCTCTTAGCTTCTGTGAGTTCACTTCTTCACATTCCCTGCACTCATTCCATTCCAGCATCACCAGCATCCTGGCTTGGACTTCCTCAAAACCAGCAGACATGTATCTACCTCAGGGCCTTTGCACGTGCTATTCCTGTTCCTGGTTGCTCAGTTTTCCTACACCTGCCTGGCTGATCCCTTGACTGCTCAGTTCCCATCTTCACAATGATGTCTTCCTGACCATGCTGCTAATAATCGCACACTCCCTGTCCCTGACAATTCCTAGCCCCGCTTGCTTGATTTCCTATAGTATTCGTCACCATGTGATATAATTTGAACTTTAATTATTTAATCACTTTTTAAAATTAATTATTTCATTTATTTATTTCCATGCATTCCCACAGGACCCCCTGTGAAGGGATGAAGGAAGGAAGGGAAAGAGGGAACAAGACACAGGAAGGAGCAAAGGAAGGATGAAGGAAGCAAGAATGGACCGTGATGGTGGAGAATGACAGGAGATCAAAATGCCAAATGAATTGTGAGATCTCTGAGGAAACATTACATTGTACGCTTTCCTTTGTCCCTTGAAAATGTGAGCTCCATGGGGCTGCAAACTGGGTGAACTTTGTTCAGTGATTTATCTCCAGTTCTGGAACAGTGCCATGAACGGAGGAGATGTGTGTAAAGTACTTGTTGAGAATTTACGGATGTCTGTAGACGGGGAAAGGAAGGGCTTTAATAGACAGCACCTCCAGGTGTAGGTAGACACCCACCCATACCACACTGTGTTTTCTCATGTTCTGGATGTTTAAAAATTGTTGTGGCCCAAGGACTCTATCAGGAAAAAGATCAGATTTACCCTCAGAGAAGAGGCTCCTACTCATGTGGTCTGAGACTACTGGATTTTCTCCTGTGACAGGGGGCAAGGCCTCAGCTCAGCTTTAGCCTCCAGCTCTTCAGGGCCCAGGACCCTTCCCCCGCACCCCCATTCCCCATTCTGGGCTTCAGTCTGTCTGCTGAGGATCTGCCTCCACAGGCTGAGTCTCCAGAGGGCAGAGAACTGACCTGGGATGAAAATCATGGTTTCCTTCTTCTGGCCAAGCAGCGTGTTGTTGATGGAGCAGGACATGTTCCTCACGGAGGAATCAACGATGATCACAGCCGTGGTGACCGTGAAGAGGCCATCTGCGTCCGCCGTGTAAGCCTCCTCCAGGGCGGGCATGACCTCACCATCGGGGTCCCTCCACACCACACGGGGCTCGGGGTACCACCCTCCAGATGTGCACTCCAGCCGGATGCCCCTGTCCTCGTGGCCCTTCATTTCAATGAGGGGCTTAGATCCCAGGCCTGAGGGGACAGACCAGGCTCAGCTTCAAAGGCAGGGGTGTCCCAGCCAATCTGTCCTAGAGCAGCTCTTAATGGTGGGCATCCAGGGAAGGGGGAGAGAGCAAGTGGGCTGCACCCAGCCAACATGGATGTGCATGTCCCAAGCGTTCCCACAGGACCCCTCTGTGAAGGGACAAAGGAAGGAAGGAAAAGAGGGACCAAGAAACAGGAAGGAGGAAAGGAAGGATGAAGGAAGCAAGAATGAACCTTGATGCTGGAGAACAACGTGACACTACATGGGAAACAAACTCTGAGCTCCATGAGGAGAAAATCACACTGGACACTCTTCACTGTGCTCCACCTACAGGCCCCATCACAGCAGCAAGCGTCTCTCTGTCTATGATAAATGCTTGTTGTTCAATTTGTTCTGCCAAACACTATCATTTTTTTCACTTCTGGGGGGGTGTGTCCAGTTTAACATGAAAGGGGCAGGTTTAGGATTTCATTTTCTCCTCCTGGGATGACTTCTCAGTACACGGGGTTTCCTAAGTCTCTAGAATAATACAGCAAGGACAGACACCTGCCAGGGTGACAGAATATTAAGAAACCTTATGACAAAAGACAGTGTCCCTTCTATGCAGGTTCAGGTCTTCACAGCACCACCGCTATCTACTACCCACAGGAGCTGGTGCTTCTTAGGAGAATGGATAGAGCTGGCCTGCAAAGCCAAGCCTTACCCTGATTCACAGAAGTTTACCCCCCAGGGGCTCAGTCAATTAGCTTATTCAGTTATAGTCCTTTGAGAACATCAATGTGTTATAAAGATCTGGATGCTCCTGGGATATCCTTAAGATGACTCTGTGACATCCTCGATGTCAGAAGATCCTCACTAAAAACCCTAGGAATCCAGACTCATCCTAACTACATTCTGTCTTTAACACAACCATTAATAAAAAAGAATACGTGGTGTGAGAGAGCTGCAAAAGCATGGTGCTGGAGGCCCTTCAGCCGTGTGTGACCATCCAAACTTCCATTGAGTAATTCATGGGTAAAACCTACCCAACAGGTTGTACCAAAGACAGAAAATTAAAACAATCACTTGTCCAGTGCTTCCTGTTCAATGTGATTTCGCCAAGAGAAAAAAAAAACAAAAACAAAAAACACCTAGTTTCACATTTAAAGGCTCACACAGAAACCCTGAAGTAGAATAAGAAATAAAATAACTTAATTACAAAAAAGTTCTACAATATATTTCACACTGTTCAATAAGGGCAAGTGGGAGACAAAAGACTTAAGGTCAGAACCAGTCACCCAAATGATCCAACAAACAAAAAATCCTAGGACAACCCCATTCAGAGTAGGACAGGCCAGAGCAAGGTCATGGTTACAGGGAAAGAATAAAGGGTTCCTGCCACACACAATTCATAACGGGCCAACTGGTAAGTACTGCTTCAAACAGGGTGAGGACACAAGGGTCAAAAAAGCCTCCTTCCTTCATGTTCTGTATTAATTACATACAATATTGCCACTGTGAGCCACAATGATGGGGTCTCCTACCAGTTATGATTTGAGACCCCCTGGGTAGGTCACACTGTCTCCAAACCTCACTTCCACTGATGGACCGAAATACCACCATTGATTTTTATGTGTCTTAAAGGATTTTCCAGTCTTCAAACATTTCCTTTAAAGAATAACATACTGACCCCAGGAGTGAGGCCATCCCTTAAAGCCATTGTAATAAACTCCTGGAAATACCAGTATAAATGCTGCTTCTACTTTGAGGTCTTGACAAATTCCTCCCAGCCGAATTCTCGTTCATTTTGTTGGTGGGGCCACCAGGCCCAGTACATAAGTTTGCCTGTGTACTTCATTTTGCTTTAATAAAATCATCCATTTAAATGTCAGCCACTCTCACTACAATCAGTGTTTGGGGGAAGGGACAAAGGCAAGATGAATATTTATCAACAACTGGACGTGCACATGTCCTTTTCTGGGCAGTCCTTGTTTATTCCACTTGGCAAGTGCAATGCCTGACAGTGCCTCCTGTCACTCTCAAGAGGGCACAGTTTGAATGATAAGGCAGGTACAAGAATAATCTGCAGGGATTAACCACTCTCTCCTGCCCAGGGCCTCAGCTGAGATCATGTGGGCTTCTCAAGCAGTGATGCCCACAGCTTAGCAGGGAAAACCCACTCATGTGGCCTTTGGGCAGTAAGCAGCCACCCTCCCCGCATAAAGGGCATTCCAGGCAAAAATCTGCTGGTCTGCAATGGGCCCAAGATTAAGAGAGAAGGTTTCCTCAAAAGGAAAACTGTGCAAAGGCAACAAAGCAAGATAAAGTGACGCACCTGCCACCATGAGGTGCAGGATGGCCTCATCATAGGACCTGCCTTCTTGGAAGTAACAGCGGTAGAAGCCGTCCTCCTGGGCTGTGACGTTGTGTATGACCAGGGCCACACTCCCCTTGCTGATGTCTTTGCTCACAAAGGTGGTTCTTCCTCGGTAGTCCTCCATCTGCTCCTCTGCTCTCTCTAGCCCACCCTTGTACACCAGCACCGCCGGGGAGAACTGCGACCGGAACCACCGCACCTCCATGTCCTCAGCATTTTTCTCGGGAGACAGGTGGCAGCTTAATGTGATGTTGCCTCCCACCATGGCCAGGATTGGATCTGCTGGTCCCACGACAGTAAACTGTGCTGCCCAACAAAGGGGAAGAATCAGAGGGGACACCAGGCATCAAATATCTCAAGCAGGAAAGGAAATGGATATTCCGGGGGACACATAAATTCTTTCCAAGGCCACAGGAACTTCCTGGGCTGAGGAAGGATTTGGGGGACCAGTAGCCGTGGCTGACCCTTGGGAGCGGTACCTATTGAGGCTGCTAATGCTTCATTAGCAAAATACTGAGGAGCTCACCCTGATCACCTCTAGGACCTGTGCTCCCTAGGACTTTTCCTCTATTTCCCAATCTAGTGCAGTGCCTGAGTGTAGCATGAACTTGAGCTGCCCAATAGGGGAGCCACAAGCCTAGTTTCAATCAAAATGATCTGAAAGTGTAAAATACACACAAGACTTTGAAGTGAAAATTTTAAAAAGTTGAGCTGAACACACCTCTCTTAGTACTGGACAGATCATCTAGGAAAGAAATCAACAGAATAACTATTACTGTTTCAGAAAGAGAGAAGAAATCGAGGGTTATCAGAGGTGGGACAGGGAAGGGAGAAGGGTATGGGGAGAGACTGGATAAGAAATATAAAGAATAAGTATGATTTCTAATAATAAAAACCACTCTGACGGGTTCTAAGAAAAAATTAAAATTAAATTAAATTGAATTAAATTACAAAATGCTAAATTTCCCATGTGTAATATTTTGTAGTAAAATAGACTTAAATGTAGATCTTTAGTTGCAGTTAAATGAAATACATTCTTAAAATTTACTTTATGGTTCTGTTTACTTTAAAAATAAAAGGTATAAAAATTTTTTTTTTGATAATTTACAACTATATACGCAGCTCGCCTTTGTGGCTCTCAATGCATTTCTTTTTTTTTTTCCCCCTTTTTTTTTTTTTTTTTTTTTTTTTTTTTTCGTGACCGGCAAGGGATCGCAACCCTCAGTGTCGCGCCCGCTCTGCTCCTCTGCTCTCTCTAGCCCACCCTTGTACACCAGCACCGCCGGGGAGAACTGCGACCGGAACCACCGCACCTCCATGTCCTCAGCATTTTTCTCGGGAGACAGGTGGCAGCTTAATGTGATGTTGTCTCCCACCATGGCCAGGATTGGATCTGCTGGTCCCACGACAGTAAACTGTGCTGCCCAACAAAGGGGAAGAATCAGAGGGGACACCAGGCATCAAATATCTCAGGCAGGAAAGGAAATTCTTTCCAAGGCCACAGGAACTCCCTGGGCTGAGGAAGAATTTGGGGGACCAGTAGCCGTGGCTGACCCTTGGGAGTGGTACCTATTGAAGCTGCTAATGCTTCATTAGCAACACATTGAGGAGGTCACCCTGATCACCTCTAGGACCTGTGCTCCCTAGGACTTTTCCTCTATTTCCCAATCTAGTGCAGTGCCTGAGTGTAGCATGAACTTCAGCTTTCCAATAGGGGAGCCACAAGCCTAGTTTCAATCAAAATGACCTGAAAGTGTAAAATACACACAAGATTTTGAAGATTTAAAATTTAAAAATGTTAAAATTCTCATTTGTAATATTTTGCAGTAAAAAGCATTTAAATGTTAATTTTTGGTTAGTTGCAGTTAAATGAAATATATTATTAAAATTTACTTTATGGTTCTGTTTACTTTTTAAAATAAAAGGTAGAAAAAAAATTTTTTGATAATTTACAACTATATACGCAGCTCGCCTTTGTGGCTCTCAATGCATTTCTTTTGGGCAGTGCTGGTATAAATTTGATGAACACGCTCAGACTAGAAGAAGAGTCCACAGGGCTGCAGTCCTTCTTAGCTCCTCCTCGTTGCAGACTGCAGAGCTGGTGCTGCTTTCTGAGAAGGTGACAGGAGCAAGTGGCCTGCATCCCTACCTGAGACTCGGGCAAACAGGCTGAGGAGCAGGGAGAGGAGAAGGGCGGCCGGCAGGGAGAAGGGTCTGGAGGCAGCTGGCTCCATAAGCACAAGGACGGAGTCACCCCGGACAGGCAGGGACCAGGGCCTAGGGGTGCAGAGGAGGAGAAGTCAGCAGAGGAGAAGAACTAGGCAGAGCAGACTGGGCACCGCAGCTGCCATCTACGTCAAACTCGCCCGTCACCATGTGGTCGCATCAGCGCCCTAACTTCCGGCTTGGGCAGCCTCCTTGGTCCCATGGTTCAGGTACCTCCTGACAGGTGGGTTCCTGAGACGCGCCATGAAATAAGCCACTAGCACCACGCGGCGGCAGGCGGTGCCCGCCCTCCTCGGCTCACGTCTCTCGCTAGAGGGCAGTTCCCTCAGTTGTCACTTGACAGCTTCCGCACTCCCTCCCTTCTCTTCTCCCCCCCTGTCAGCCAGGCCGGGCACCCACCGGGGGCTCCCCTCTCCCAGGGACCCCGTTTTTCCTCCGCAGCAGGTTCCCGGCCCCCTCCCGCCCACCCCGGAGCTGCAGCGCTTCCCTCCCTTTCCTGCCTTCTCCAGTTAACCGCGCGTCTTCCTCTGCCGACCCTCGAGGACCATTTTCCGGTCGTCTCTTTCCTTCTAACGCTCCCATGAGCACAGTCACCACCAGGGAACAAAACGTCGGGAAGACGGAGAGAAAACTTTTCTTCACCTCCCATCAGTCGCGACGTGCAGAGCTGCGGGACTGAGACCTGGGACCCGTTCACTCAGTGTCCCGTGTCCCAAGATTTCCTGTTAATGGTTTGGAGCCCGGGATTGGCCGGCTGTGGTCAGCCAGCCAATGGTGTCCCTGAGCCTTAATTGTCACCAGTTACTGGGTAGAATACACAGAAGTAGTTTTTTAAAAAAAATCACAAGCGAATAACCTTTTGCGATGATTACGTTGTTAAATTTCCTTTTACTTCTTTACACACAAGGCACTTTTTGTTTTTTGCGAGGCCTTTAGGTCCCCCGCGGATTGTGGCGTTGTTGCCAACCACGAGTAGAGGCCTCTGTTTGCCCTAGTGTGTGTGGTGAGATGATGAGGTAAACATAAGCAGCCTTCTTTGCCAAGCCAGAGGAATCTTGTTCTAGTTCCTGGCTTTGCAGGGGAAGGATTGCAGGGATCAGGCAAGGGCTGGGAAGGGGTAGAGAAGGAAGTGAGACAGCAGCTGCAGCAGCTGTTATGAAGACCTCATCACTCATTCACAACTGTTGGGTAAGAGAAGCTGAGGATATTGAGCGAGAGTCAGAAACCCTTTCCCTCAGGCAGGTGGTATTCTAGTGCAGGCAGGAGATGGAAGTGGACAGAGACTTCCTAGTTGGGCTTAACATCTGCCAGAAGATGGTCTGGTTGGGCCCAACCTGCACACACACCCACACATACTCTCCTCCCCAACATGCCCCACAGACTCCAATCCAAAATCCAGGAATAGATTTTCTCCATAATAATCATCCTAAGTCTCAGTTCTCAATAGTCCCCTCAAGTGTCCAAATGCTTCCTCGGAGTCCTACGATCCCCTTTTGATTCAACTCAGAACTGTGCAGTTGACCCGCTAGCAATGGATCCCCCTTGCTTGTGTCCCTCCTGCACCTGGGGCCAGCACTCCCTTTCCCATGACATTCCCCTCGCCTGACCTGTTCCTTCCATTTTTGCCTCTTGAGATCCTGCCTGGCCTTGATGCCCACCTCATTCAAGAACACTCAGGATGTTCTCAGCCTCTTCTGACACTCACAGTTTCTCCTGTTTCTGTACTCTGTCCTGCATAATTGTTATTTAGGGAACAATTGTTATCTTCCCAGTAACTGGAGTGTCTGTTTCTCAGGACAGGTATCTGGCGATGTCATTCCTCTCTCCTTACAGGGCCCACCCTTGGCTGTGCACTCAGTTGTGGTTCAACGCACGCATGAGAAAGGTGTGTGTAGGTCATTTTCCCAACAGCATGACCTTGTTTCTTGACTCATCTGGCACCAGAGCCAAGAGCAAGGTGGCAGCAGGATCAGGCCACCCATGGTCAGTGGTTCTTGGACAGGGAAGGAGGATCAGAAGGACCCAGAATAAGTTACCAAAGCAGGTTCCTTCTCTACTCTGCAGAGGGAAATCTTTGATTAGAATAAGCTACAGAAGGCCCCAAGAACTGATTTTTGTATTGTGCTGACCCTTTAACTATCTGTTTCTCATATAGCAGCTTCACTCATCGCCTGATGCTTCTGGTTTAAAATTAAAGAGGCTTCTGAGTTCAGCCACAAATGAGAATAAAAATGTAGTAAGTATTCGATCACCCCATGCAGGACTGAGTTGCTTTTGAGAAGGCACAGAAGAGGAGACCATAAGGGTCAAAGAGTCTGGGCACCGACAGCTTTTATCTGAAGAAAATGAGGCCCAGGCCTTCTGAGGCCATTTATGCCAGATGCACCCAATGAAGCCAGGCCTGGGCACCTGCCACGGCTGGCCTGAGCCAGAGGAAAACATATGTTCTGAGCAGGAGAAGGGTCCACTGCCCATGCAGTAGTTAGCAAGAGACCGTGTCCAACTGGGGTGTGCCCCATTGGGTGGTGAGAACCTGACCTAATCATTCTCTGCCTTGGGAGGAGTCAACACAGAGGGAGGGTCACCTTGGTATGGTTCTCCATGGACCTGGTGGACATGGCAGTACTGCAAGAGCCCAGAGTGACTTCTGATCCCCTGTTCTTTCCGAGAAACTCTAATTTCTTTTTTTCTTTTTTTTAGGAGCTGGTCACTGTGGGTATCCAAACCCATGACCTGAGTGTTACAAGCCTATGCTCTATCTAACTGAGCCAACTGGCCAGCCGAACTCCTATCTTTGAAAGCAATCTGTCTCCATCTCTTCCTGTGAGTCACCTCCAGCCATGGAGTCCTCCCTTTGAGGCCCAGACATACTGGAACACAGAACAAACATTTCTACTCTTACCCATTCAAATATCATATTCTTGACTCTCAGAATCCATGAGCATAGTGAAACAGTGTGCAAACTGCTAATTTTTAGGGCTGCAGCAATACTACCTGGTACTTTTACCTTCTCAGAAGAGAAAATATCTCACCAAACACACAGCAGAAATGATAGTGGGCCCCCAAAGGAACCAGACACAGGAGAGTTGCCCCAACTCTTTCCATCTCCAAGCTGTCTGTGCACTGCTGCTTTGGTCTTCTCTCTCTGCAGTCCAACTTTGATTTTCTGGACCACACTGTGAGTGGAATATGCCTTCCCACAGCTCCTATGCATACCTGCTACAGGTGTAACTGGTAAGATGTCACACTGGGATCCTCTAGCCTAGCCTGAGTCAGGTGTACATCCCACATCCAGTCCATGTGTTAGGGCAGCAGGGCCATGTGATATGGACATGTGTTGGAAGAAAGGAGGTCACTACTGCTGCATGGTTGGGGATGGAGGCATCCCTCACCATGGAAGACAAGAAGGGCAGACGGAATTTAGTAGGTACTCACTATGTTCACAGCAGGGCCCTGTGAACAGATGCTGTTAATGCCTCATCCCATATCCTCTTGGCCCATCTCAGTTCACCCATAACTGAGGCAGGCGGTTTCCTGAAAGGATAACAACTTCAGACCTCATGAGGCCTGCCTTCTTCTACCTCTCTGGGAGCCTTCTCCAATTCCAGTGGTGTTTGCTTTCTTGCAGATGCATGGTCCAGCCTGGAAGTGCAAGAGAATTAACAGCTCCAGGGGCAAACTTCAGCCAGTTCAAGTGAAAGACGATGGGAGTTGTGAGTAAATTCTCCACTCCAGGCTCTCCAACCCTTAGGAAGATTTTGAGATTCATGTCACAATTTCATATGGTTTCATAGAGAGTCCAGGGTGAGATTGAGCCCACCTATGTACATGGTAAGGGGCCCATTAATAAGCCCATTATGCCATTTCTTAATTGTTTTTCTGTCTTCTGTGTCTCAATTTATTTCTGCACTTGTGTTTCCAGGGATCACTTTCCAAGTAAGTGTGGCTGAATAGTGCCCCATCCCCCAGTGATGCCCACTGTGAAACTTATGAATATGATATATTACATGGCAAAATGAACGTTACACATGGAATTAAATTATGGACCTCAAAATAGAGAGATTATCTTGAATTATTTGGGTGGGTTCAATCTAATCACACTCAATCTAATCAACTTAATCTAGTCTTTAAAAGTAGAAGGCCGAAGAATCAGAAAGTGAAAGAACAGGGAGAAATACAGGGATTGAGAGGGGCTCAGTCCGTGTTTGCTGCTTTGAAATGGAGCACCAGTGGTGACCTGAATGACTTTTCCTTTCTGCATAGTCTCTCTTTCCACACATCCAAGTGATGGAACATCATTGAGCCTTACCTGAAGCATTTCCTTACCTGAAAAGTGGGGATAAAAGTACTAATCTCTAGGGCTGTATAAGTCAACAGTGTAACTCACTAAGACCAGGGCAAGGCACAGAGGATGCACCTGACTGGTAACTGGTGCCATGCCTTCTCTGTGCTAGGGGCTATGTTGGGGGCTTTATGTGCCCCCACATCCACCCTCTTCTGGGCCCCAGGAATCTGTCCTGTATGGACAGAATGTCTGGGCTCACTTGTCCTCTGGTTTCCTGTTGGGTGTGGCCAGTGTGAGGCGCTGGCAGAAGACTGGAAGGATCAGATGGTGTTGCTCTGACAAAGGCATGACTCTTTGGAGGCAGCCTGATTTTGAGCTGCAGTTTCCGCTGGCCTCCAAGAACTGCCCACCTCCCCATCCCTCCAAGCCTAGGGCTGGAGACAGCTCCCCACTGCTGTGAGGCCTGGGACACTGCACTTTCCCTCGCTGGTTTCCCTTGACCCTGCTTTCTCCAAACCCTCTTCAACCACTTATTTTGAATATGCCATCTTTCTTGCTAGCTTTTCGGCTAATACATACTCCTTCAGTCTTTACCTTAGACCTCCCAGCATAGGAGGTATGATCATCATCTAACGATGTGGAGGCCAAAGCTCAGACACATTAACTCATCACAGGACACGCAACGGCAGTAGGTGGCATGAAGCCCTGGAGAGGCAAAGTTCCCTGTATGCTACCTTCTCCCCTTGGCGTTTCCCATCCTCATCCCCTGCAGGGTCCTGCAGCCTCCCTCTCCCCCTCTGCCATGCCTTCTCTGTGCTAGGGGCTATGTTGGGGGCTTTATGTGCCCCCACATCCACCCTCTTCTGGGCCCCAGGAATCTGTCCTGTATGGACAGAATGTCTGGGCTCACTTGTCCTCTGGTTTCCTGTTGGGTGTGGCCAGTGTGAGGCGCTGGCAGAAG